CCGAAACTTGCCAAAAGAACCTCATTTACAGCTCAAAAGAGTTGCAGCTCATCAATTGCAACTAGGGTGTTTTTTGCGTTGCAGTGAAACAAATGGTTTCACCCAATCCAAAATATTTTAGTTGCACACACTGTAGTTATGAGTCGTAAACCATCAGTTATAGCAAATCAAACAATCTCTACAGTTAGCAACTTTAAAGTTTCATTATTTTTTGACACTGCATCCAAATGTACAAGTACTTCTCACCTTCTTTTTACAGACCTTTTCAAGATTTAAATGTTCAAAGTCAATTGTTAACAGTGTGAATGACAAAGACTTGCTAATTCTTGAACTGTTTGAAAAGAAAAACATTAGCGATCGATTCTTAAACGTGGGACGTTCATTAATTGAAAACTATTGCCGCTCCTTCTCATTGAGCCACGCTCATTATCAACTAATCTCGTGCTACATATGTCAATTTTGGCACGGCTCGTTGTTTAGACAAATGCAAGCATTTGGTCAAATCTGTGATGGCTACCAACTACTTAACTGAATAATTTATCAATCCTCAGACAATACGTAACCAAGTGACAAATGACTTTCGAAAAGGCTTAACATATGAGACTTATTTTTAGGGACAAATTTAAGACTGCGAGAGCGTAAGCGTCACTTCGTTCAAATATTTACAAAATAAATAAATAAATAAGGACAAATTTTTAAAATCAACCTTTTTGCAATTTTAAATAGCAAAATCGACCCTATATGAAATTATTCAGCAAAACCGACCATTTTCTTCTGAAAAGGATCGGTTTTGCTGTTGGAGAATTTTTACGAAATACACGGGACTGCTAGTCCCGTGTATTTCGCCTCAGCTTTGAATTGCACGGGACTAGCAGTCCCGTGTTTTTTTGAGCAGAGAGAGCTCCTTCTCCCCGTCACATTCGTTCTCTCCCCTCCCTTCATCTCTCTCTCCTCTATTATCACTGCAGTCTCTCTCTTCATCTCTCCCTTCACCAGCTCCTCTCAGTTCTCTCTCTCCAAGCAATTTCAACCCAGCTCGAGGGGTGGCTGAGGCGAGCAGGCTGGAGGCGGAGCTCGAGGAGGAGGGGGTTGAGCAGCGGAGAGTTCAGGGGGAAAGCTGGGGGAAGATCGGCGGCGCTGTGGTTGAGCTGGTGGCGTGAGCGGGTGGAGGTCGGAGAGAAGACGAGTGGGGCTGGTGGCGGTGGTGGAAGGCGGTGATGGGTCTGGAGAGGAGGAGCTCGAGGCGAAGCTCGGGCTGAGGGCGAGCGGCGAGGTGCTGATGGCGAGTGGAGTTGGGTCGGAGCTCAGAGTCGAGGGAGGAGCTCGCTATTGCAGGCGGCGGGTGGGGGAGATGAAGGGGGAGCTTGGCGTCGGGCTTGGGAGGTGGCGACATGGGGCTTGGGCTTGCAGCAGAGCTCGGGTCGGAAATCGGGGAGAGAGAGAACTGAGAGGAGCTGGTGAAGGGAGAGATGGAGAAGAGATGAAGAGAGAGACTGCGGTGATAATGAAGGAGCTCTCTCTGCTCAAAAAAAACACGGGACTGATAGTCCCGTGCAATTCAAAGCTGGGGCGAAATACACGAGACTAGCAGTCCCGTGTATTTCGTAAAAATTCTCCAACAGCAAAACCGACCATTTTCAGAAGAAAATGGTCGGTTTTGCTGAATAATTTCATATAGGGTCGATTTTGCTATTTAAAATGGCTAAAAGGTTGATTTTAAAAATTTGTCCAATAAATAAATAATAAAAGTTAGCACCTGTGGGTCCCTTTTGAGGCACACACCAATGTCTTACCATATGAGCATTCGATTATTTGGGAGTGAGTCGAGTGACTACGACCAGTGTAATGAATTATGCTCGGGAATAATAATAAAATTAAATTGCTTTTTTAAGGAATATATTTAATAAAACAATGCGTTTCTCTAAGTTTATAGTGTTTACCTTCAAAGGACAAAATAAGCAACCAACAAAGGAGCTTGCATAATATCCAAGTGCGCTTTGGCTAATCTAAGGGTATGTTTGTTTTGCTACAATAGTAACCATAAGAATTTTGCATGAAGCATTTATTGCAGGAAGTCAACTTTCAAATAAATTTATTGTATATATGCAGTTTTGTTAAGGGGCTTGTGTTTTCAATACGGACCAACGTTATTTGAACAAAGAAATTGTGCAAACTCTATATGATTTTGTTATTAGTGAGGCGTGCGTCCTACTTGGAATAAGGAAAGATATTCTTGACAATATAAAATTATTTTCTACAAATTGCGAGTTTATTTATCTTTTTAGTCCACGAAATTACTCTTCGGAAATCCAAAAGTAAAAACAACGTAATTTTGAGAGAAATAATAGTAGCTAATAAGATTCATAAATTTTTTTAATGAAAAAAGTGTGAAAAAAAAGGACAAGACTGAAAAGAGAGCATTTGAAGTTGGTTGATGAAGGTATTTACATGTGATGAGATCACAATTTCAATCCTCCAGCCAATCTGATGAGAGGGAGTCTCTCCCAAAAGAAGTGGGAGTTTTCACTGTTATCCAAAAGAGATCAAAAAATTTTTACTAAACCTCATATATATGCTTGGTAATGAAGATTCATTAGCAAAACGGAAGACCCACGCCAACCGGCTGTAAATGAGCAGGAAGGCTTTCTCCCGAAAAATTTCCGAGATCATCATGATGTCATATTCAAGAAGGATTTGGAAAGGAGCTAATGAACATAGACAATTTTAATACGGATAAATTAAACTAAACCCTCAAGAACTTCCAAGGTTTTGCAATAAACCCCAACAAGTTTAAAAGCCACACTAAACGCCCAATTACTTTTGCACAAAATCCCCAATGTATTTTGGGTAAGTCACACTAAACCCCCAACAACTTTGAAAATGCCTTTTAGTGTTGTTTTTTTGGTTTTTATTTTAAGGTTATCTACACAATGCGGAAACTTATTAAGAGGCGGGGTTAGCATAATTTACCCATTTTAATATAGTCAAATATTACTTACTTTTAGATTATTTAAGTGATATTGAACTAAACTACATGAGGTCAATTCATTCATAAAATTAATCTAATACTTCATAAAATTTGTCCCCCACAGGCAACTAGTTTTGATACCCCTCCCTCGGTTCGCGGAAACGGTGGTGGTTGGATTTTGTGGAATTTGACCATGGAAACCAAAAAAAAATTAAACCTGACCTCAGCAGCAGCAGCAGCAGATTCCAGAATTAAACCATTTTGTATGGCATCCATTTCTTTTGTACAAATCACAGCAAAAGCACCGAAGGGTACTCCCCTAAATAATCAAATATATATTTCATTAAGTACTAGACAATTATAACTTCAACAAGGGAAAATAAGTATGAGATAACAATTGTATTTAGTATATGCCCAGAAAAAAGGATTAATGGCATATAGATCTCACCTCTTAGAACCCTTTGTCGTATGGTTTGCTATACCAGCGAGATTTTTGACGAACATGAAGCGAACAGTGAGGAAGTAAGGGTTTGAATGCTATAGTGTAGCACAGGGAGTTTAACTGCCATAAATCTCTACTGCTCTTCAGTTCCACAAGCTCTATCTGTAAAGCTGGGCATGGAACAAAAAATTTCCCTATTAGCTAGTTACAGCAGAGACAGAATCAGAATCACCGTTGGTACTAATAGTAATAGTGTAGCGAGTGCACGAAATCTCTACTGCTCTTCAGTTCCACAAGCTCTATCTGTAAAGCTGGGCATGGAACAAAAAATTTCCCTATTAGCTAGTTACAGCAGAGACAGAATCAGAATCACCGTTGGTACTAATAGTAATAGTGTAGCGAGTGCACG